CAAAATACAAAATGACTTTTCAGAAAACAAATAAAAAACACAAAAACTAGAGACTAAGGATGGGACAAGATACAGTTTGTACAAGACGAGACGTGATACGAGATTGGGTCCATGAGAACGAGACAAGATGAGATTTTAAATTCATAATAAATACATTTCACAGTTTAGTTTGTGATTTGTGTCTCATAATGTGTATTATTTATTTGATTTCATAGTTTTGTTTCCATTCTAGTACTGCTTTTTGGAAGTGTAAGAAATGTAACTCACCAGTGTGTAAATCATTTTTGTCCAATCCAAATGTAAACACATAGAAAAAAAAAAAAAATCTCACAAGATCATTTTTCTCATGTGTGCCACGAGATCTTATACCATCAGAGGGTATAAATGTAAAAGGAAAATAGTTTTTGTTTTGTCGGTGCTACCTCCAGCCAATATATGATTTAACTTTAAAATAAATAAATAATAAATAAATAAATACACTGACAAAAAAAGTTTAAAGGTGCAATACAAAAGTAAAAATATAGTACATTAGATTTTGTAATTTTTTGTGTGTGACTATATATATATATATATATATATATATATATATATATATATATATATATATATATATATATATAAACTGATACTGTTATGATAATGTTACTGGCCCAATAAGCTGCCGACTGGCAACTAAATGTATCGCTCTATCCATACGTTCCAGAGTTATGAAAAATGTGCACCGTTTCCATAGTAATTAACAATCCAAAACTAAATACTGTATCTTTTTAAAGTTGTTATATTATACAAACTTGACGCCATATTACAACACTGTTGTTACCTCCTCAAAAACATACCCGAAGTTGCGTATTGTTTCATCCATGTTTGAATAATCCTGGTTTATCCCACATTTCCAAAGCTCAAAATGCTCTTTTCCACCTTGTGATGTCATGAAGTGGAATTTACAGTTATACAATTTACTTTTTGATCAGCAGAGGTAAGCAATTCCAGAGCTGAAATGTATCATGTTATTTTATTGAAGGAGAAACACAGTGGAGCACTTCCTGTATTACCACATGACATCACAAGGTGGAACAGTGTTTTCTGCTTGAGAGAAGAACTCAGCCGAAATATGCAGGTCTTGTGTGTTAAACATGTGGAAATGAAACAAAACACAACTGCAGATATGTTTTTGATGAGAAAACAACATTATAACACAAATCAGAAAATAGTGTCGTATAGTCCCTTTAATTGGCGAATGGTTCTCTTTTTAAAATCTTATAATCTCCATTGATTTAACATTAAGATATACCGTATTTTCCGCACCATCGCAATCCAGAGCGCCCTATACACGAATCCACTCGGGTGTCCCATCACGACTTCAGTAAACTACAAAGCCGCATCACTCGCAGCGCACGTAAACACACACAGAGCAGACAGCGACCACGCAGCGAAAAACACCCGCAGCCACACTCATCACTCCACACGGACGAGGAACGGAACGGTGGAACGAACCGTAAAAGCGAGTGCAATGTGCCACTTCTAGACACAACTGAACAACTGAGTCACTGTGAACACGCCGACAATCCAGCGGTCCCAGACAGCACCCTCCCTACACGCCACAACTGAACAAAGCCCAGAGTCACTGTGAACGCGCCAAACAAAGTCCCACTGAGCCATCCAACTGTTGCCTTTCGTTTAAAGTCTGGCACGGTTTATTTGTGAAAAAAAGTTTGAAAATAGACCATTCAATGACAGTGCGCCTTATAATCCAGATCGCCCTATACTGCGGAAAATACAGTAACTGACAATTCTCTGAGAAATAAGTAGGACACAATGCTGATTTGTGTTTATGTTTATGTCATAACTTCCCAATGATTTACTCAGCCCATACCTCCACACTGCAGGCCCATACAGCGCCTGCAGTATCATGTACACTATGTTACTATGTCGTGTGAATGTGGACAGTTGATCTGACAGTTATGTGGGTCCTTGAGACAGTGGTATGGCCCATCAGTCATTCTACCCCACTGTAATACATGTGAGAGCCAGGCGCACTCTGGGGATTTCAGTATATTTAATTGCTGATTGTGCTTTGTTTTTCCTGTTTATACAACCCAGAGGGACAAAAGAGCAGGAGATCATTTGATTTGATTCAAGTACTAGTTGCTGCATGTTATAATGAAGTTACATCATCAAAAAACATTCTTTATTATTAGTCTGTCTACATCTCCAAAGCTCAAAATGCTCTGTTCCACATATAGACTGTATAAAAAAGTGGACTAAGTGAGTGTGATGTAGCCCTGACCCGTAGTGTTCGGCACCACTCAAATGAAGCTTACAATTCTATCAGCCAAAATAGAGGGAAAAAAAACCATCAGGATCATGTAGAGCGGGTTAATACGAACATTTTAAGACCAAAATGATGAGACTCACAGCGGAAGTTACAGAGAGAGGGGTGACAATATTCCAATATAAGTAGGGTGACCAAACGTCCGTTTTTCCCTGGACATGTCCGTATTTTGCGTCCTGTCCGGGGCGTCCGGGTTTTTTTTATAAAGTGATGCAAATGTCCGGGTTTTCATTACCGTTCAATAAACTGTGACTCAGAAGGAGCGAGACACAAACAGTTGATCAGTCTGAAATATGACGAAGCGCAAGTGCACATTTAACAACGACTTGTACAAGAAATTCTCAGTTTTCCGTCCCGGTCGGGACAAGTGTGAGTCTGTGTGCACAGGTTGCGAGGTGAGAGTACAGTGTCCCTCGTTTATCGCGGGGGTTCCGTTCTAAAAATAACCCACGATAGTTGAAATCCTCGAAGTATCAACTTTATATTTTACAATTATTCTATCTGTTTTAAGGCTGTAAAACCCCTCACCACACACTTTATACACTTTTCTCACACAGCACAGGTGCAACCCTTTTTACTTCCTTCTTCAAACTTATTGCTGTTGTCGTCCTTTTGTTATTTTCCTCCTTCTTTATGTAACGAACTGAAGATTCATTTATTCCATAATGGAGTCTACAGCGCAGAGTCCTGCACGGGTCAGTTTTTGGAGACCCCCAGTACAACACCGCACCTGCCAGTACAGGACCGCACCTGCCCGTTAACCAGAGATTATATCAAACTTTTGCGCTGCCTACACCACGGACTGAACCAAGACTAAACCAGGACTAAACCAGAAATGAAGCAGGACTCAGTGTCAGGTCGGGCTCGGAGGTGACGCAGGAGAAAGGACCGACAGAAAGCTCCGTACCTCACGGAGTTAAACGCGGCAACTGCCCGATCGCGCTTTGCGGACTAACTGCTCGGCGTTCTCTCTCTTAAGTCCAAGATTAGTCCTGGTTTAGACCTGGTTTAGTCCTGACGCACCGTGTGTAATAACTACCCGCCCATAATACAAAATACGCGTTCATACAATGTAAATATAAGTCAGTGGGAGTCAGGGTCAGAAGGAGTTGGAAGAGCTACAGTACGTCCTTTCATATATACATGGTTCCACCTTGTGATGTCATGAAGCTGTAGTTTTCAAATTAACAGCTGCCTTTTACCTTTTATTTATAAGAGATCTGCAATTCCTGGGTTCAAATTATCCCAGTGATTCTAATGAAGGTGTATAGAGTGTAAAAACACAGTGGAGCACTTCCTGTGTTACCTCATGACATCACAAGGTGGAACAGAGTGTTTTCTGCTTGAGAAAAGAACTATGCAGTATTTGTGTGAACGAAACAAAACTGAGCTCCGAGGAAACAACATTAAAACATAGATCAGAAAATAGCGTGATATGAACCTTTTAAGTAACTGAAATATTTGATATATTTTTAAGGCATATTTTAATGTTCAAATCTCTAATCACTGTAGAAATGGCAAAAGAAATAGAATTATCCTCCATTATGATGTACTGTATGTTTGTATTATGTCTTTCTTATAACCAACCTCTATTCCAATGGACAGTACTGTTGTATAATTACAATAAGAATGAGAGCAAGGGCAAACCGACCTAGAAAAACATTGCATAAAATGTCAATAAATCCATAAATATGCATTACGCCAGGTTCTGTAATAGCTCTAACAGCTTCAAAGTAACCCACTACTGTACTTTTGGGTAGTAGAATAATTCAGAAAAATATAGACAGTTAAGTCATTTTGAAATATATTTTAATTAAATGTAATGAGGTAAATAAATAACCAAGATCAATAGTTTCCCCCAACAACAATTCAATTCAATTTATATACAATACCTTTGTGCAAAAAAAAAAAAAAAAAAAAATGAATTCAAACAGACATTGTAAGCTGATCATTTCAAGGCACATATATTTACCATAACATTATTTTCTGAACACATTTTAAATGTACAGGGGGTGGAAAGGGGGTATGTGCTTTTTTGCTGTTTTAGTCCGTGCAGCGCCTCCTATGGGCCGGCGGTGGACTACATAAACCCTGGCCAGTGATTATGGGCGAGGTGTGAAGAGCCTCGCTGCTGCCTCCGGTGGATGTTAAATGAGCGTGACCTTTAGATTTCCCTTTGATGCAGAAGAGGATCTATTTGCATACATATATATGGGCTCTCTGCTGTCTGACGCAGGGACCTGATCATTAGCATTTTTATTAAATGTAGCTGCAATTAACCGGATGTGCCATTTTCATTTGATGACTTGATTAAAACCTGTCCAGAGGAGATGTAAAAACTCTGCCCTCTAGTGGTCATTGTGCCTGTCTCCTCTTCTCTCACAAAGGGCATACAAGTATTTGAGTTCCACTGGACTCTTCTAAGTATTATCTATGGCCACTGCGCATGTTGATCAAAAATAAACTAAACTGTGGAGTTAAAGAAACCAATAATGATTGATAATGTCACAGAACTAAAACAGCACAGCTGCAGAAAGCAATAATTTATAAATCCAATATAGTTGTATAAAAGTTATTGTCCATTATAAATTACATTTTAAAGACAGGAGCTGAACTGGTATTAACACTGTACAGTGTCCATAAAGACAGTAAAAATCCCTCTCTAGCGTCATGTGCGCGGATAGTCGGCCTCCTGAACATTGTTCTTGCAGTAAACTGTGCTGTTCCCCAGGGGGCAGTCTCGGAAACCAATGCCCCCGTTAGGGGTGTAAATAGGCTGAATGCGCAGCTCTCCCTTGAGGAGTTGCTCATTGTTGAGTGAGACGATCTGGAAGCTGGTCTCAGTCATTTCCAGGATGGAGTTGTCCTTCTTGGTGCCCGCCTCACAGTAGTCATCTTTCCTGCGCCCACGGTTGTATTTCCAGGTGGCAGAGGAGGACTGGGAGCGACTTTTGTGCATGTGCCAACAGAAGATACTGAGCAGCAGCACCAGCACCACCATCACTGCTCCTCCAATCAGACCTGCCAACAGGAACGGAGAGCCAGGCTCAGGCTGAGTGGCCTGCTCTGGTCCAGATGGTCTTTTGTTCTCTGGGCTGTAAGTGGCAGCAGTAGTCACTGCCTCTGTGCACACGGTGTCGTCTTTGGGACGATAGTTGTTGAATGCGTCCAGAGGAATCACACAGATCCTGTAGGTGGACTTAGGCTCCAGATTGGCCAGTCTGGTGCCCCGGTGGTCCCCTCCCACAATCCTCTCCCTCACCGTCTCCCCGGTCAGGCTGGGACCCATCCGAGCCCACGTCACTTTAAAGGCAGTGACTGGAAAGGCAGCCACCCAGCTCACGTGGATGGCTGAGCCATTCTGTATGGCAAAAGTGACCTGCAGACCCTCTCTGCGGGGGTCCTGGGGTCTCCGAGTCCTTAGCCCCCCCTCTCTGGTGGTGTATATGGGGTACAGAGTGGGAAAGGTGGGGAGGGGCTTTCTGAAGGCGGGGTTGATGAACTTGGTGACTAACGCGACATGTGTTGACAGAGACAGGGGAGGAGGGGGTGGAGGGCTGAGGGGGGGCAGCCTCTGTGCTCTGTGGGCACTGCACCAGCTCCTGGCTCAGCTCCCGGATCACCATTCCTCTGAGCGCCTCTGGTTTGTGGCACATGAAGCCACGCACGTTCAGTGACCCGGGCAGAGACTTGAGCCAGGCCACCACCCACTTCACACTGCAGTCACACAGCCACAGGTTGTTCCGCACTGTCAGCTGTCTCAGGCTCACCAGGTCCTCAAAGACTCCCTGTGTCAGAGACTGCAGCTGGTTACTTGAAATATCCAACTTCTCTAGTCTGTGTAACCCCGCGAAGGCCTGCGGTGGGATGTGCGTCATCTGATTCTCCTGGAAATTTAGCTTGACTAGCACCTCTCCTGGTAGGAACGGGGGTGGGTAAGTCAGAGAATTCCTAGCTAGAGACAACTCCCTCAGCGTTCCCAGGTCCTGAAATGTTCCTGGTGCAATTCCTTCATCTGTCAGAAGATTCCCATCCAGCAGAAGGCGCTCCAGACGAGTGACATTCTTAAACGCTTCCTCGACAATCACCGCAATCCTGTTCTCGTCCAATCGCAGCTCTTTTAAGGTTTCCGGAAGACCAATAGGCACGCTGCTCAGGTGGTTTTTAGTGAGAAAGAGCATTTTCAAACTCACCGCCTCTTGGAACGCCCCCTCCTCCACTCCAACTGTAGATATCGAGTTATCATCCAAATGCAATTCCTCTAACCACAACAACTGGGCCAGAGCCGCTCGCGATATCGTCTGTATGTTGTTCTCCTGCAGGTGAACCACTCTGACATTTTTCGGCAGATTTATGGGGAACTCGTCCAGCTCGTTGCCATAGAGATACACCGTCTCCACCGAAGCCACGTGGTGCAACTCCAATGGGAACCCGGCGTTATTGATTTGGTTGTTGTGGAGGTAGAGAGTCTTATAGCCCTCCCCTATTCCCACAGGCACTGAGGTCAGACTCCGCTCGTTGCAGTAAACAAAAGTACGATCACAACGGCACTCTTCTGGACACTGGGATGCCCCGGAGAACTGGAGATGCAGGCCAAGCAATATAGGTATCCATGGTCTTATAAGGGACCCCCAGTTTTTACTCCATAGACGCCACTGTAACTCCATTTCAAACTGAAAAAAATTGCAAACGTGGAAAGAGATAATCAAAATCCAGCCGAGCAGTCATTGGATTTGAACAGTTAAGCAGGCTCCAAAAAGAGGGCCTTGAGTAATCCCTTGGTAATTAGTTGGCTTAAGTGCTCCAATGTAAAAGAAATGGTCTCGTTTAGCAGAATCCTTCACCAGCGACTGTCCCTGAATTAGCTGGCGGAGATGACTGAAGTCCTGTTACATTTTCAGCTCTTTTTTTCAGCTCTCCTCACTGCAGCAGGATTATGTGTGGCTGGGGTTGGCTTCCTCGATCTTGTACAGTGCTTCTTCCAGGACAGTAACGATTCATTGGAACTTGATATTTGGATCCAGAAATCTGTGTGAAATCAGAAAACAGATGACAAATTAGAGTTAGGTTTGAATTTGTTGTAGATTTTAATAAAATAAGTTGGATTTTCATATTTGAAGCAATGACGTGGAAGTTATAACCTATAAACTTTTTATATATGATAAAAATGTATATTAAAAGTACATAGAGGGCTTGCAGGAATATCAGTAATAATTGAAGTAGAAGCAGCAGTAGTAGTAAATGTAGTAGCAGTAGCAGTAGTTGTAATTGAAGTAGTAGTAGTAGCAGCAGTAGCAGTTGTAGCAGTAGTAACAGTAGTAGCAGCAGCAGTAGTAGTAGTAGTAGTAGTAGTAGCAGTAGTAGTAGAAATAGTAGTAGAAGTAGCAGTAGTAGCAATAATAACAGTAGTAGTAGCCATAGTAGTAGTAGTGGTAGCAAAAGTAGCAATAATATCAGTAGTGGTAGTACTACTACTAGTATTAGTAGTAGTAGCAAGCTGCAGTATGTTAATAGGTGTGTAGTAGTAGTAGTAGTAGTAGTAGGCTGCAGTATGTTAGTAGGTGTGTTGTTAGTAGTAGTAGTAGTAGTAGTAGTAGTAGTAGTAAGCTGCAGTATGTTAGTAGGTGTGTAGTAGTAGTAGTAGTAAGCTGCAGTATATTGGGTGTGTAGTAGCAGTAGTAGTAGTAGTAGTAGTAGTAGTAGTAGTAGTAGTAGTAAGCTACAGTATGTTAATAGGTGTGTAGTAGTAGCAAGCTGCAGTATATTAGGTGTGTAGTAGTATTTGTAGTAGTGGTAAGCTGTAGTATGTTAGTAGGTGTGTAGTAGTAGTAGTAGTAGTAGTAGTAGTAGTAGTAGTAGTAGTAGTAAGCTACAGTATGTCAGGTGTGTAGTAGTAGTAGTAGTAGTAGTAGTAGTAGTAGTAAGCTACAGTATGTCAGTAGTGTAGTAGTAGTAGTAGTAGTAGTAGTAGTAAGCTGCAGTATGTTAGTAGGTGAGTAGTAGTAGTAGTAGTAGTAGTAGTAGTAGTAGTAGTAGTAGTAGTAGTAGTAGTAGTAGTAGTAGTAAGCTACAGTATGTCAGGTGTGTAGTAGTAGTAGTAGTAGTAAGCTGCAGTATGTTAGTAGGTGTGTAGTAGTAGTAGTAGTAAGCTGCAGTATGTTAGTAGGTGTGTAGTAGTAGTAGTAGTAGTAAGCTACAGTATGTTAGTAGGTGTGTAGTAGTAGTAGTAGTAAGCTGCAGTATGTTAGTAGGTGTGTAGTAGTAGTAGTAGTAGTAAGCTGCAGTATGTTAGTAGGTGTGTAGTAGTAGTAGTAGTAAGCTGCAGTATGTCAGGTGTGTAGTAGTAGTAGTAGTAGTAAGCTGCAGTATGTTAGTAGGTGTGTAGTAGTAGTAGTAGTAAGCTGCAGTATGTTAGTAGGTGTGTAGTAGTAGTAGTAGTAGTAGTAGTAGTAGTGTAGTAGTAGTAGTAGTAAGTAAGCTGCAGTATGTTAGTAGGTGTGTAGTAGTAGTAGTAGTAAGCTGCAGTATGTTAGTAGGTGTGTAGTAGTAGTAGTAGTAAGCTGCAGTATGTTAGTAGGTGTGTAGTAGTAGTAGTAGTAAGCTGCAGTATGTTAGTAGGTGTGTAGTAGTAGTAGTAGTAGTAGTAGTAGTAAGCTGCAGTATGTCAGGTGTGTAGTAGTAGTAGTAGTAGTAAGCTGCAGTATGTTAGTAGGTGTGTAGTAGTAGTAGTAGTAGTAGTAGTAAGCTGCAGTATGTTAGTAGGTGTGTAGTAGTAGTAGTAGTAGTAGTAAGCTGAAATGATGTAAATTGTAATATGTAAACTATTTGTTCATATGAATAGAATATTTTAAGTAGTATTAGTTGCATTACAGTGAACATGAGATAATACGAGATACATCTGTTTTCTCTATTAACAGACAGAACATATCTGAAACAGAAGTAGTAGTCTTACTTGTATTAACACTCTTGGTAGTAATAGTTTTAAAGGTGCAATGTGTAACTTTTGTGGTCTCCATGGAGATGATATTGCTTTCAACTTAAATCTTACACTGAATACAATGACAGGTGGTTTTGTTGCTCATAAGTTCAACAAAAAGTGAATTCATAGTGTAAACAGGGAAACATCTCCACAGATCTGACCTGCAACTTGGCCTGGTGGTGTTACTTGTCTGTTTCCATGAAAATAAATATGCTTAATGCCATAGTGTGGAACATAACATAACAAAGGAATAACATAAGCGAGCTGGTGGCGGACCCTTCACCAACAACACACACAGTGCACCGTTAATATACTCGTGGTAATAGTAGTAGTAGCTGTAGAACATATCTTTAGCATTTTAGTATTATATATTAGTGATGGCACAAAAAAATCTGTCTTCTATGAACAAACAAAAAAACTACAAGTAGTGTTATTTGTAGTAGTAGTAATTGTAGTAGTAGTAGTAGCAGTAGTAGTACTAGGGATGTAACAACATGCAATCGAAAAAAAATATATATATATTGAAACGCAATTGAAAAAAATAAAACAAAAATCAGTCTTCTTCTATGAACACACACACAAAAAACTACTAGTAGCATTATTTGTAACAGTAGTAGTAGGGATGTAATGGCATGCAATTGAAAAAAAAAAATCTGTCTTCTTCTATGAACACACAAAAAACTGACAAGTAGTACTATCATTAGTAGTACTAGTACTAGTAGTAGTAGTAGTACTAGGGATGTAACGACTTGCAACTGAAAAAAAAAATCATTCTTCTTCTAATAACACACAAAAAAACTGACAAGTAGTATTATCTGTTGTAGTAGTAGTAGTAGTAGTAGTAGTAGTAGTAGTAGTAGGATGTAACGACTTGCAACTGAAAAAAAATATATATTTATTGAAATGCAATTGAAAAAATTAAAACAAAAAGCAGTCTTCTATGAACACACACACAGAAACAAAAACTACTATTAGTATTATTTGTAGTAGTAGTAGTAGTAGTAGTAGTAGTAGTAGTAGTAGTAGTAGGGATGTAATGACATGCAATTGAAAAAAATATATTTATTGAAATGCAATTGAAAAAAATAAAGCAAAATTCAGTCCTTCTCTATGAACAAACAAAAAACAGTACTAGTACTATTATTTGTAGTAGTAGTAGTAGTTGTAGTAGTAATGTAACGGCATGAAATTGTAAAAAAAAAAGGATACATTTTCCTTTTTTTAAAAGCCTTGACATGCTTTCCGTACAATATTACTGTCGCAGTCCGAAGAATTAAGATAAAAAAGCTCTGCAATGAAATAAAGCAAGGGATCATGGTCTATGTAGTTTATTCAGTTTTTTTCTCTGCTGCTACAACAAAAGAATTAATTTAAGATTCTATTAAAGTTTATAATTGGATTTACTGTGATTGCGATACTTCAGTTATTATAGTAGTAGTAGCAGTAGTAGTAGCAGTAGCTGTAGCCAGAGTGGTAGTAGTCGTAGTAATGGTCGTACTGCTAGAAATCAGACAAAAAATAAAATAACAGAAGGTTTCTTGCTCACTTCTGGATCACAAAGAGAGACTTGTAAATTAGGGGAAGCAGAGCACTGTGCATACAAATCTCTGTCACACTGGCTACACATTATATCTGCCTTCAACAGTTACGACCCTTCAACGAGGAAAAGATGTTTAGGATGTTTTATTATTCTATACACACCATCTAATCTTTATTGAAAACATGCTCTGTGCAAACTTTTCCCTATCCCCTGGTTGATAAGGGCGTACGTGCTCAAAATCTTAAACTGATTTCAAACAACGCAAGCCTGGAGCCTTTTACACACAGCGAGGTGTAAAGGAAAAAAGAAACATGTCTGATTCAAAACAAAAGTGTAACTATAATACATAAAAACCCTGCAAACTCAATGCGAGTCATCTAATGTGAGAGCCCTTTGTGCATTAGGCAAATTAGCGGTGGATATGGAAACAGGACTAATCATGAGGGACGAGGCAAGATGTGACAAGATTTTGATATAATTTTTAATAAATACATTGAGCCATTCAGTTCACAATTTTTAGTACACACTTTTTGTTTTATTTAAAGAGTCCATGTTAGGCTATTTTCTGATCTATGTTATAATGCTGTTACGTCATCACAAATACACCTGGAGTTGTGTGTTTGTTTCATTCACTTATTAATGTTTAACACACAAACCCTGCATGTTTAGGCTTAGGAGTTCTTCTCTCAAACTGAAAACACTCTGTTCCACCTTGTGATGTCATGTGGAAATACAGGAAGTGCTCCATTGTGTTTTTAAACTCCACACACCTTCACTAGAATCATTTGGATAATTTCAGCTCTGGAATTAAACTACATTTAAAAAAGTAGCTGGAAATTACCACTACATGACATCACAAGGTGGAACAGAGCATTTTAAAGGGACAGTCCTGAATTTTGGTCATAGGGTCTCATTTCCTAGTGAGCCAGAGTGTTGGAGACATGTGGAGACACTTTTTTTAAAATATTCCATCCAGTCCTTGTATTTGCAGAGGTCGCTGGTGCTAGGCTAGTGCATGTCAATGGCCATAGTTAGCCTGCCACTAAAAACAGTCTTACCCACTTCACAAAACACCCGAAGTAAATCTATTATTACGCCATACTGTCGATTTAAATGTCTGTGTTGACAGAATAATGTTTAAAATAAAA